TTTTGTCGTGCTTAAATAACCAAAGAGAATAAAGCACATGCTTTGCAACAACCACTCCCTAGTGTCTAGTACTAAACCACGTCGTCTTCTCTAAAACGTGAATATAAAGTGACAAAAAAGTGACAAATATTTCACAGCAATGCCAATCAGTGCATAGAAAATCGAAACTTGAGTAAAAAATAAGTGACTAAATATTCAAAATAAGGGATTAAATATAAAAAAAAATAAGTGATTATTAAAAACTCACCTGCACGTCCTGTGCATTGACATCAAGATGATCGGCGATCAAGAACCGAAACCGGGACGAATCCAAGTTGGTGCCCGAGCCGATAACCCTATTCGCCGGGAACCTGGATAGCTTCCAGGCCACGTAAGTCAACACATCGACGGGGTTAGAAACTATCAGCAGTATACATTCCGGAGAGTACTTAGCCAACGGCGGCACTATAGATTTGAACAAGGAGAGGTTTCGTTGAATAAGATTGAGCCTGCTCTCGCCCGGTATCTGGCGGGCTCCGGCTGTGATGATGCAGAGGTCAGAGCCGGCAGTGATATCGTAGTCGAGGGAGGCTTGGATTTTGGTTCGGGGGAGGAAGGCGGCGGCGTGCTGGAGGTCGAGCATTTCGCCTCGGAGTTTGTCGGCCTTTGCGTCTACTAGGGCGAGTTCGTCGGCGAGATCTTGGGTGAGGATAGTCTGGGCGATAGCCATGCCGACGTTTCCAACTCCGACAACGGTGATTTTGGTGTGGCGTTTGGTGGGTGACGGTGGATCGGCGTTGGAAATGGGCTTGAAAAAGGCTTGGGTTAAGTCCAGGCCGCCGGGACCTAGGGAAGAGGATGATGTGCTCTTGTGCATGGACATTTTAGCACCTTGAGGAAAAATCTGTGAGTTTGTGTGACTGAGAGAATTGAAGGCGGCGACCGTGGTTAATGGGGTTTTTAGAATAATTTCGATGAAAAACTTTTGACTGGCGAGAAGAGGGAAAAGTATGTATGGTTGGACAAGGATAGTGAAAAACAGGCATCGTACTAGGATATATGGGAAATTGCAAGGAAGGTTCTCAAAATTTACAATGAGTTCAAATGTTTCCATTCTTCAACGTTCAAACTCCAATATTCTCAGAAGGAACCAAAAATTGTTAATTCATATTTTTGTGGGAAAAGGAAACTTTGAAATGATGCTGAAAGTCTTCAAACTTATAAGCATCTTCAACATTATCTTTATTTACACCTTACGTATGATTCATAACGTTCATCACTTTTCTATTCACACATTTAGTAAAAATCACAACTTATAATCTATTAAGATTTTTACAAAACACACCCAAGAACTTCATCGAAAGAATTATATTCTTGTTGAAAACATTATTTTCTCAACTCTTTGGATAAACTTTATTGGGCTATGATGCCATTTTCTTGGCGGTCTAGCCGATCTTGCCCAATAATGCACTGTGATGGACTCTTATGAACCGACCACACTTTTTGAACCTAGCATCTAAGGTGATGACCCATTAATATAAATAGATGGTCTGAGACTTTTGGCCCTAATTTTTGAGTCATTATTCTTGCGACTCTTCGTGAGATTTTTGTGGAACCTTCTAGGTCTCTCCTCTTCGAGACTTGGTGTCTCTGCCTTTTCTCCTTCTTCGTGAATCTCTTCCTTTAGCCATTAAACCCCTTAATTTCTGGTGATTCTGTGTGCGTAGAGTCTTGGTGATTCTTCAATTTCAATTTGTGAAGAGTTTCTGTAGGTTTTTGGAGAGTTTTCGTTCCGTTGAAGCGACTGCCTCTGTGTTGGGTCTGGGGCTGTCTTTGTGAGTCTAATCCTTTGTACCGACGGGTACAAGGTTGATCTGAGCCCAAATCCATGAGAACTTGTTGCCTTGGTCGTTGTCTATATTCTGTAATATTGGTACGATCTTAGGTCCTTGAGATGTAACAGTGGTATCAGAGCCTCTTTTAGGCCGTACGAGTTCCTATCTCTAGCTTCTAGTAGTGGAAAATTAATTTTCACGGCCTGATTCTTGTGAGACCAACAGTCGTTGGAAACCCTATATCTGATTAGTGATAGATCTTGATTTGGATTTATGATCTTTTACCTTTTCTTGGTATACTGACATTTGTTGTTGGTGACTTTGCCGGAATAATTGGATTTTGAGTTTTTTCTAGGTGAACCGATTATGAAAACTTGGATGTTCTGTGTGATACATGATCTGCCGATTAATTTCTTTAACCCTCTTTGTGACTTTTACACGTGATACATGATTCTTTACTGAGTGCTTTAGGATTGTGTATATTTCTTGTGTTGAGGTACTCTAGAATTTTGGGATATTGCACACACTTTCTTTATACAAAAGTGTCATGCATGCTAGTAATTTTTGTGATCAACTCTTGATCTTCTTGGTTTGCCTATTCTCTAATATCTGTGATTAATTCCTGATTCCTGTATACTGCCTACTGATTAATCTGTGTGATTAATTCTTGATCCATGTATTCTGCCTATTGATTAATTTGTAATTAATTTTTGATCCTTGTTGTCTACCTATTGTTTAGTCTTGGTGACTGTCTACTGATTCTGTATTAATACCGTACACTTGCACTGCACTACTGTGGCTTTGGGTTGAGCCTTGACCAGGGGTCTTTGAACCTCACGGAATCTTAGTGAACTTAAGACACATCACTTCATTCTGAAGTGATTTGTTATTTCTCTGATTGGTTATTGTTTTGTTAATATTCACTGTGTTATATTCCCCTAATATTTTCATACTGTGTGTGATACTTTGTGTTGTCATATATTCTGTGAAATATCTTCTTGGTACTTCTGGCTGAACTTTAACCCTAAAAAATTTTCTTGTGTTGATTAAAAACTTTAAATGACAACGACAATGTTTGGACTTGGGGGGTTTTAATGGAAAAGGGGATTTTCCCCATTTGGCAGCAAAAAATGAGGGGAGTTCTTGTTTAACAGAAAGTGCCTAAAGCTATAACTGGTAAATATCCTGCTACTATGACTAATGAACAAAAAACTGAATTTACTGAGCTTGCCTATACTTCCATTATTTTACACTTGTCTGATCAAGTATTAAGAAACATTGAAAAATTGGATAATGCAAAAGCCTTATAGGAAAAATTAGAAGAACTTTTATTTGGCTAAGTCATTGCCAAATAAAAAATTTCTTTTGGAAAGATTCTTTAGCTTTAAAATTGACATATCCTGAGACTTACATGATAACCTTGACACTTTTAATAAACTTGTATAAGATATTACTAATGCTGGGAATAAAGTATCGAAAGAATACAAAGCTTTAATTCTCCTAAATTCCATTCCTGGAGCTTATAAAGATGTTAAGACTGCTATTAAGCATGGCAGAGAGTCTTTAGCACCTGAGATAGTGATTAATGCTCTAAGAAGCAAAGAATTGGAAGTTAAGTCTGAGAGACATGGCAATGAGAATGAGAACCTGTTTGTAAGAGGTAGATCATTGACCAGACAGAGTAATAATCAAGGTAACCAGCATAATCAGTGGAATAATGCCTCCAAGAAGAACGGGAATGGTAGAAAAAGGTCAAAATCTAGAAATGGAGCTAGAAAATGTTATGTTTGTGGCAAAACAGGGCATTACATTAAAGACTGCTTTAAAAAGAAAAATGAGCAAATGGAGGTTAAAATTGATGAAAGGAATATGTTGAGCTTCTAGGTGAGGGTATCGTTGATATCTATGTTGTGACTGAGTCCACATCTGACTTGAATTCTGCAAATTATGCAAATAATTCAAGTCAGGGTGTAAAGTGGATCTTAGATTTATGTTGTACCTTTCATATGATCTCTAGAAAGCATTGGTTGCTTGATTTTAAGGACTTAGATGGGGTGAGGCAGTTATGGATAACAATGCAGCCTATAAAGTGTTGGGGATAGGCAGTGTGACTTTAAAATTTGATATTGGGTATACCTTTACCTTAGAAAAGGTGAGACATGTACCAAATTTAAATAGAAATATGATTTCAGTTGGGAACTTAGATGAAATAGGTCTCCAAGAAAAATTTGGAGATGGTTTCTTGAAAATAGTTGAGGGGTCCTTAGTTATTTTCAAGGGTATTAAAAGAAATGGGATCTATGTCACTAAGACAAATGTGTTGAGTCACACTGTAGAGTCCTCTATGGTTGAAAGTGATGCCACATTGAAATGGCATAATACGTTAGCCCATGTGAGTGAGAAAGGTTTACACATCTTAAGTGAGAAAGATGCATTTGGTAGTGATGTGATTTCTAAAATTTCTTTTTGTGAATATTGTACATTAGGCAAACATCATAGACTTCATTTTAGTACAGGGAAACATAAGACTACATTTATCCTAGAGTATATACATTCTGACTTGTGGGTCCATCATCTGTCACCTCTTAAAGTGGGAATAGGTATTTTCTATCCTTAATTGATTATTTTTCAAGAAAAGTATGGGTATTTCTTTTAAAACAAAATTCAAATACTTTTGAAAAATTTAAGACTTGAAAAACTTTGATTGAAGATCAAATGGATAAAAATATTAAAATCCTAAGGACAGTTAATGGATTAGAATTTTGTAGTGCTGATTTTGAAAAATTGTATAAGGATAATGGCGTTTTGAGACATAAAACAGTACCATGTACTCCAGAACAGAATGGTATAGCTGAGAGGATGAATAGAACAATTCTAGATAAGATTATATGTATGATGTTCAGTTCAAGTGCCCCCAAAAGTGTTGTGGAGGAGGCATCAGTCTATGTTATGACAGCAATTTATATTATAAATAAGAACCCAACTAGTGCATTAGATGGTAGGACAACTGAGAAAGTGTGGACAGGTAGGTTGGCTGACTATACACACTTAAAAACTTTTGGTTGTGCAGCATATTCACACTAAAGTGTTGGAAAACTTGAGCCTAAATCCCCGAAAATGTGTTTTCATGGGATATCCTGAAGGAGTGAAGGAGTACAGGCTTTGGGTGAGAGAAATTGGGGATTTTGAGATGATAACTAATAGAAATGTAACATTCAATGAAAATGAGATGTCTTGTTTAGATAGAAAGGCCTCTAGTGAGGTGTCTAAGGGTCAGGAAGAGGAAAATACTAGGCTGCAAGTGGAACTTGAACCTTTACCTGATTTGGTTGTTGAAAATCAAGATGAAAATGAGATTGTGGAAGAATCAGGTGATGAAACTGTTCAAAAGCCTACTGCTGAGCTAGTGAACCCTTTGAGTGATTATCAATTAACTAGGGATACGGTTAGAAAAGAAATAAGAGAGCCTATTAGGATGCAAGACTATATGTCACTTGCTATGTTGTCATATCAGGATTTGACTTTTAAGGAACCTAAATCCCATGAAGAGGCTATTAGTTGTCAGTTTTCTAGGGAATGACAGCTTGCTATGGAGGAAGAAATAAGGTCCTTAGTAAAAAATAAGACCTGGAATTTAGTGGTTTATACTGTTAAAGAAGGCAATTCCCCTAATCAGCCCCTTAGATTTAAGGCCAAATTAGTGGCTAAGGGGTTTACTCAAAAACCTAGTATTGATTACAATGAAATCTTTTCTCTTGTTGTGAAATATACTACCATTAGAGTTACGCTTGCATTAGTTGCACAATATGATTATGAATTAGAGCAAATGGATGTTAAAACTGCATTTTTGTACGGTGAACTTGATGAAACCATGTATATGAGATAGCCACAATGTTTCATTGATAACAGAAAATATGATCATGTATGCTCGTTAAAAAAATCACTTTATGGCCTAAAACAAACTCCTAAGCAATGGTCCAAATGCTTTGATAACTTTGTGTCTTCAGTTGGCTTAGTGAGAAGTTCTTTTAACCATTGCTTGTATTTTAAAAAGGATACCAGCAACTGTGTAATTGTTTATTTGCTATTATATGTGGAATATATGTTGCTAATTGGCCAGAAAATGAGATTAAAAAGGTGCTAAGTGTTGAATTTGAAATGAAGGACCTAGGGCATGCTAAAAGGATTTTAGGGATGGATATTAAGAGCAATAGGTCACAA